CGAGTTTGTTGCTATTGGTAGCCTGCACGGAATCGTGTGAGAAAGTATGAATAAACCACATTTTAAGCAGGGCAATGGTCGTACATGTGTCCAACGGTAGACGCAGCACACCATAAAACTGTTAAAACTGTTATGAAACTGTGGCATTTAAGTTTAACGAGCAGGATAATTATTTTGTCACATGAGCCTGCTTTCTTGGTATTACAGATGAACGAATTTAAAGCCTAGCGCAGACCTGCGACTTTTTCATGCAACTCGACAGCGATTCTAGAATCGCTGTAAAAATTGCTGTGAAATCGCTACGTCTGCGGGAACATGCAACTGCAACCCGTAGCGATTCTGGTCGCTTGCGACGAGTTGCAAGAAGTCAAACTGTTTTGATTTTAAGCGCGCTCCCATTCGCTCCCAAATTGCTCTAGAATTGCTTCGAAATCGCATGTGTGCGCACACGCGGTGACACATCGACCGATCGCTTGCGGTTGCAGGTTGCAGCGACGAGCAACCAAAAATCGCGGGTCTGCGCTATACTAGGCTTTAGTAATTCGCGTTTGCGTTTACAACTGATAGAAGTAGTGTTGTCAATCGGTTGTAATTTCGTAATCGATCATCGGTTGGACCCAAGTAACCGATGATCGGTTACAATCGGTTACTTGGGGTGTTGAATGCCTGCGTGTGCGTAACGTCGTGTGCATGTACGTGTGTGCATGTATGTGCTTGTTTAGCCCTATTTACTGTTTGTTTTGCACTGTTTACTACTGTGTGTATAATACATGGACTGATTCTTTCTTTTTTCCGATTAAATCGATTATGGATTTTGATAACCAAGCGCTTGGTTCGAGCCACTGTTCAACCGATGATCGAGTATAATCGATGATCGTGACATCACTAGGCGCTTGGTTCGAGCCACTGTTCAACCGATGATCGAGTATAATCGATGATCGTGACATCACTAGATAGAAGTATACAATCATTGTCACAGAGAGGGTGATGGAAGCAATGTTCACAAACAAGCTAGTCATTTATTCAGGTATCTAATGAGGATACATTATAAATACGCATTACAGCACGAGCTTGCAGGCTCCTTACCGTCAGTGCAATATAAAATTCCAAACAAATGTGGATTTTTATTATTATGACAAAGCCTTTATTTCAAGTGCTTAATTTATCCCGTTTGAACGCGTTAGTGACTGTGCTACCAGGCTTGCATATCTGACTGATATGCATGAGGTTCGGCACCACGTTTCTAAATTGTGTAGTGCATGCAGTAAAACGTCTAAAGCACCAGAGCCCTGTAGACATCGAGACCTTGAGGCTTTCAACCACCGTGCCAGGTCCTGTGTGCTGCAGTGGCTAGGTCGATTGTAGTGTAGTGACCCGAGAAGAGAGAGAGGAAGTGAAAAACGTCTGGGCTGGGGAAAAATCCCCTCGAATTCGACGTCCCATAGCTCTTTTGAACAAAAGAACACACAGAGACACCCGCGCGCGAACGCACACATGCACGCACACAAACAGGCACGCGCGCACACGCACACATGCACGCACACACGCACACATGCATGCACACACGGGCACATGCACGCGCACACGCACACATGCACGCGCACACGCACACGCACACGCACACATGCATGCACACAAGGGCACATGCAAGCACACGCGCGCGTTTCTTGATCATTCACCTATCTACTACCATTCATTCCCTCACCCTAGACTGAAATCATAGACTGATCTCTATTCAGTCGGTCCGCATTGCATCGTTTATTGTCAGTCGCTATCTACAGACACCTATAACTATCTTACATCAATAATGAACCAGGAAAGGCATAAAAAAAAACACATCTAGTCATGCGAACAGTTCTTATAGCCACACTACACCTCGAAAATTTATCGCATTTTTTTATTGTGTAATGTTTAAAATGGCGGCCCATGTCTGGTGTTCAGCATGCTGATATATATATATCTTATTGCGTTGATGTGAACAAGACTGAAAGGTCACTATCGGGTTCGTTTGGGTGTTAACTGAACCATGACGATGTTCTTGAACCTGTTATTTTTCTTTATTTTTACAGAGACCAAACGCGTCTCAGCAGCTAGTACACTCGTTTTGCAGTGACACACCAGGCACTTCCGTATAATTAACCTACGTGCATCCACGCACGTACGTACGCATACGCGTGGTCACATATTAGAATGCTTAATAGCTGTACGGAAGCAAACAACGCAAGAGTTCACAGTCACGAGAAGGCGTTTATTGTTTTATCTCGTATTACATGATTCAGATCAGCAATGTTGATCAAATCCCTGATCCTAAAGCGCACATCTATTAATTACAATATTTTACATCGTATCACGTACGTAACCCAACAACACATCTCAGGTCACACGACAGCTTCTAAAACTTATTCCACGCGTCGCTAGCTGCATGCAGGGTGTCAATTAGATAACTGTCGTACACTACGAATTACTTATCAAAGATATGACGCGTGAACACTACACTCAGAAATGCAATATATACGTGTACGTTACTAATATATTACAACAGAAATCACATAAGCAAATAAATAATTGAATAACTGATATTGATATGATAAAATCAGGAGTGAAAAATAATAGATATATTATTAACAAGTGCCGCAGAGCGATAGCGCTCACCTGACGGCAGGTGTTCTGATGCTAAACTCACTGGCAAACGAATGAAGTGCACCCTCCCATCACCGCGTTCGTGCTCAGAGCATATATCTAGGATACTACTAATACAGATCTAAAATCTATGATAGCTAGGCTTTGCTATACCGGTAGTACAGTAATAAAGATACAGCTGTGTAACTTTAATGACTTTGCTATATTAACATGTTATCATGGATATGCGTCGAGCGCGAGCGTAGTGGTGGTGGTGGGGGAAGAGTGGGGGGAGGGTGCTCTAATAGCAAAAGCAGTTGCCGCGAGATGCCGCGTGCAAGTGTCATCAATAATCAAAGATGGCATCACCCTTCGTGCGTGATAACCTCACTCCATTGAGTTGCTGAAATCCAAGTATATTCAGGCAGGCGAGAATTTCGCTCAGCTGTGAGTTAACACATCTGCATTGCAGGTTGCCAGGCAATAATTATGATTAGAATAGTGCCAGTTCACCCCCATGCATGCGTAATTGGCTGCCCCCATGTTTTTGCCTACCCACGCAAGCATTCAGGGTTCATTACAGTGTGCTAATACAGGGTGCTACTCAGGGTGCTAATACAGACTGCTTTAGAAAATAATATGATTTAAGGAGCGTAAATCTTGTTCAACAAACATTTGCCTTTGCAATTGAACTGTGCAACTGTAGCTTCACATCCACAATAGCAAAAGCAGTTCAGTACTTTGTTAACAGTCAACAAATCCATGTTTAACCCTCCTCTTGAGGGTCAAAAGGTTATCCGACACTTACTCTTCGCATGTCAGCGGAAAGTACATTTCATGGTCCTTTCAATAAAGCCATAAAAATGGTAGGTCACCGCTGAAAAATTTTTCTTTTTCAATCGCTCCGTCAGACCATGTCCTCAGAAAATGTCTAAAATCTGCCCTGTGCCCCATTGACCTTTCACCTGTGACCTCCAATTTCGGCACAGTGATGGCTTTTCCTACCATTATGCTATACACCGACTATCACGAGCCTAGGTCGAGCCGTTTATGCCGCAATTCTGCATTTCCTCCGTATACCTTAAGTTAAGGAGGGAATGTTCCCCCTTCTTTTACACCTCTTGACTTTTGACCTTTGACCCCCCAGCTTCGACATCCCAACTCGTTTTCGGATTACCCCCCCCCCACGTCCCGAATATCGTGACCGTACGTCGAGCCGTTTAGATTTGTGCCCAACTGTTGACGGACGCACGGACGCACGCTCATGCGATTCTACAAGCTGCATCTGACTATGTCAGATGAGCTAATAATTATTAAGTTGTAGCGACCATTTACCTCAGCCAATATTACTACTACAGTGGTCCCAGGTCTACGGAAAAACGCGCGGAAGGATTGTTTTTCAAACACACGTTGATAAAGCGATGCACCCGTTTATCAGAGTCCTGATAAAGCGCGGACCAGTGTATCTTCAAGGGGTAACATGAGAACATTTTTAAAGTAATTCGCCAGGTAGGCTGCAAGCTGTCAGGTTGTTTAGACCATCCAACAAAAGGATGTACTTAATTTTCCAAAGAAATGAACCATTTTTCTACCCAAAAACTCTTTTCTGTCAGACCATTAATTAACCAATATATGTTTGCCAAGGTTCACTTGCACTTATAATTGTGCACTCGCAATCAGTCCCCTGCGTCCGGGAAAGAATACTGATTCTTATTCTGAACTCTCTCATCATTAAATTATGAATATATATCATGTTTGCTATTAGTTACTGCATTCACAATTGCACTTGTATTATAGAAGATACGGGGATTACCTACCTCTTTTGTCCAAAAGGCATTTTGTAGGAAAACATCTCAAAATATATAATGGAACTCAATGGGACAACATAATTCATGTTATGGAATTTCGCATTCCAAACGTGGAAACAGTCTGGAACGCATTACTTTCGTAACGCGAGGTAGTACTGTACAGTAACTAAAATAATTGCTGTTAATCCTCCAATAACCATGTATCCTAGTAGGAAAGTATGTTCACCCAGTTACCCCCCCCCCCACCCTTCAAATAGCATAAGCAGCTTGAATGCATAGTCACTTGAAGTGATGTGACTGTAATGTAAGGCACCGATCGGTAAATGGGTGCTCCCGATCAAATTGACAAAATAAAGTGAATGTAACGTAATAGGGTTTCAATAGATTTTCGACGAGACATTACTAAATGATGAATTGATAGTAAATGTGTGTTCATACACATACACTTACACACAGGAACACGCATTCCCGTGCCTACAGGAAAGCATGCAGTCACACAAGCACGCACACACATATGCACATGCACATACACATGCACGCACACATCGTGACACGTATGCACACGCACATACACACGCACGCACGCATATGCACACGCACAGACACGTGCACATGCGCATGCGCACACCCCACACGCAAGCAGCAGAACATGGTTGTCATATCTGATCTACTTACACAAACATAACAACGCATATCACGTACAACAGTTATTTACAATAGTTCAAATTGCCGGTACCCAATTACATACAATATCAATTATCATACACAGAAGAGGACGTGCTCACACAACTCAGCTAGCATTCATTGGAATAAAGCTATTCCCTGTGTTTAGTATATCAATTTTCTACATGTGGTGGTGCAAGCTTCAGTTGAAAGTCCTCTCTCTGCAGTATACTAGATCCCTGAGTGATCTGAGAGTGCTGTACCTTGGGCTGCCTGTTGGGATTAGCTAGCTCACTGAGAATCGCCAGCTATTGAAATAAAAACAAGACATTTCTCAGAATTTTCCAGTTATTAGTTAATAAGTGCATCGCTTAAAAACACAAAGAAACAAAAGTCAGTGCTTTGAGGTCGAGGCCCTATAGAAGTGATTGTCAACCAGAGTTTTGGGTCTTGGGGTTAATTATTGTTGAGCTTTTTAAGTGAAAAGCACTGGTCTTCACTCACGAATGTACGCTTACTATTATATATGTGCAGAGTGGCGTAGCCAGGATTTTTTTAACAGGGGGGGGGGGCAAAAACAGCAAACTGCGCAAAATGGTGGATGACTTAATATTTTAATGGTTCCTCCGCCTCCCTCTCCACACCCTAAGCTCCACCACCTCTCAGCTCTGTGTTGGCTCGACATTTGTGTTCATTGTGTTCGTTTCTGTTCAGTGGGGGATCCAGGATTCCAATTAGGGAGGGGGGTGAAATACACGTGGGGGTATGGGGGTCCTCCCCCAGAAAATTTTGAAAATGTAGATCGCGGGAGATGGTATTTGATGGACCTTTGAGTACATGTACTTCATTCTGACTACGACAATTCTCTTTTTAGTACAATTCTTTTTTCTTTTTTTTTCTACTTTCGGATCAACAAGGGGGGCCATGGACTCTGGCCATGGCCAATGGCCATGGCCAAGGGGGGCTTTGGACTCCCCTAACTACGCCACTGTATGTGCATTTATTATATACGCTTTTATAAACAAATGGTACTTGCCCTGGAAACAGTCTTCTGTGCTTTTCTGAGGTGTTCAAGTGCTTGCAGCTGCTGAGAATCTGGTGCGTTCTAGCAATAGACATTAAATGAGAAATATTAGGTGTCATCAACAGTAGCTCTACTGGTATTTCACTTTAGATCTTTTCTGCAATTCTCATCTTTACTTTTTCAAAATAATTTTTCAAAATAATTTTTCATCCAAAATTTTTTAATGTCATCCATACATCCATTCATTCTTTAATAATTAGCTATATTTCACGATCATCTGCTGAATGCTGCAACTAAAAATATTCTTTTTATATCTATTCATCAATCCTTAATTTAAGAATCCCATCGGTACTTGTTAAACCATGAATCTTTCGACAGCTATGACAGACACACCTTTCCTCTGCTTGGCACAACATCAGCCAACTGAGTGGAGGGTGACCTGATGCGCCCTCTAGTGGTGGGGAGTTGCTTCATGGCATTGCTACTACAATGCCAACATTCCCACAACTCATCTCCCTGGACGAGAGAGAACGACCCCATTGATTTTAGACATGGGGTGTGATAGCTGTGTGTGCACCTTCAAAGAATACAACAGGACACTTTTAAGATGGTCATAGAAAAACTAACATGAATAACATTTATAAATGCAGAGATCATTACCACCCCACCTGAGTTTCAAAGTCAATTCAGTTGTTGTGCCAGTGTATATCGATAAAACAATTACAGAGGAACAATGAAAAACAAACATGCACTATGCATGGCAATGCACAATGTCAGGTGTACAGCATATAGAAATAAGATACATCTCACTGAATGGAACAGTGCCATGCACAACTTGTAATATACTTGTATTACTCATTGTGCTGTGTTAGAGTTGTGTATGGGTACTTGAGTATAAGTGCTCACTCTCTACACCTAGACATGTGACACATGACTATGAGAGCTTGTGTAGCAAACTCCCATAATACTGGCATGTATATAGGCTTACGTCACAAAGCGTGGTCTTAGTTGCACAGAAATACGCCTATAATGACAATTAGTGTTGTCGGCATTCCCTGCACCACTAGTAGAATGATCAAAGTACTGCTACCAACATGTCATAATATGCTTTGACACAGTTACACATATAATGCATTTAATCGGGCAGCTTTCTACACAGGCTGTCATAATCATGTGCCCATGTTGGGGAGCAGAGTGGAGTAAACAGCGAGTATGCATGAACTCTATACTCTCGTACCCACACTTACAACTCCAACAACAACACAATGCAATACAGACATCCCACACAATTGCCTTACCGAAATAACACCACCATGTCAGCGTCAGCGATGTTGGCCAGAGGCTTGTGACAGAGAGCGCAACAGTCAGAGTTTGTGACATAGGCGCGGTTGGCTGTACGCTGAAGGCGGGACAGCTGGCCATGCAGGTCCTGGTTCAGGAGATTGTTGGTCGCCCTCAGCAATGTCTTCTCATAGCGGAAAGTGTTCAGCATGCCTAGAACCAGCTCCTTGATTTCACCGAGCTTGCCTGTGTTATAGGCCGGATCCTGGAGTAAGCAGCACATGAAAACAATGTAAAAATGCCAGAAACCAGTGTTGTAGTCGAGTCCGCACTCCCCCCCGAGTCCGAGTCCGAGTCCGCACATCCCGAGTCCGAGTCCGCGCCACCCAAATCTGAGTCCGAGTCCGAGTCCACACCACCCGAGTCCAAGTCGTTTTGATAAAAAAAATAGGGGGCATAGACTGACAAGGCCGCTCACTTCTATGTATGCATTTGTTCAAAAATGGGGGGTGTCTCTAGCCCACTGGATCTTTCACTTGTTTGCATGAAATAGAAAGTAAAAGCACAGGGCAGCAAGTTCTTTCTTGTAGCATAACTTTTATTTATATAAATTTAGGTAGGAGTTTTAGTTTTAAATTCTTGTAAACTGCGTGTTTACAATATGTACAGTTATGTACTATGTAGTGGCCTCAACCCGAGTCCTCGAGTCCGAGTCCGAGTCCGAGTCATTGCACTCCGAGGCCAAGGCCGAGGCCGAGACCAAGGAAACCGGCCTCGAGGCCGGTCTCTTGGCCAACACCGGCCTCGAGACCTACAACACTGCCAGAAACAGACTGGGTTCTTACTGCATGAAAGACTGGTTTCTTACTGCGTGAAAGACTGGTTCTAAACTATTGGTTTCCATTACTTTGTTACCTCCATGATCCGCTGCAATATGGCTGCCACAGATATGTATCCCATCATGCTGTTCAGCACATGTCGCGTAAGATCTTTAAATGCTGTGTAACATATAAAATACAATGCTATTACTATGCACTGACACAATTGCTTTTTTAGACATATTGAATAGACACAGTATTAAAAAAAGGGGAAAACCAAGGTTGTTACAAGAGCTAAATAACAATTAATAACAATTCACTTGTGTATAAAGTATTCCATTGTAAAAAATCAAACGACGACTCTAATATCTAAATTTTACAATCAATTAAAATTTATTGGCAACAGCATATGCGTTAAATAGCCAATAGGGAGCATAATGCAATTTATAATTATTGTGTGTAATTGTATGAGACACTTACAATCTAATTGTTCTGGGTCAACCTGGTTTTTCAGATGTCTTTGTGGTATCATCATGGTATCCAAAATTGGAAACCAAAGAGCCTAAAATTGTGTATTATTATGTACTTTATTAAGGTTTATTAACATGCAATATAGGTCTTTATTTTCATAGCCAATCCACAAAGTTATCCTTCATATACTACAGCTATAACAAAATGAATGTAATAAATTGCCTCCACTAACACTCACATGTATACTCCTTAAAGGCCAAGACACACTGCAGCGACAACGACCGACCGTAACGACAAACGACAACAGTCGTGGCGACTGGCGCAGCCACACTGCAGCGACAACGACCGACCGTAACGACAAACGACTTTTCAGAAAATTAGAAACTATTGTTTCCTATGAGCCATCGCACACTGACGCGACGACGACCGGCGACAACCTCGACGACAAAAATATTTAGAAACGTTTCTATTTCCCAGCGACTTTCGCCGGCGACACTTTACAAATGGCCAATCACAGCCGTTTCCATCGGCACGTGACATCGCCACTACGTCATAAAATTATAAACCAATGCTAGCCAGGAAGTAGACTGGTTCCCAGCGCTAAACTCGCACCGCCTGTCAGAAACAGTGGGGCCGCGAACCCATCTAACCAAAACGGGCAAGGCCACGGTCAGCCATCAGACGTGATTATTGTTTACGTTAGTATAATATGCTGCGTATATATTACTTTATTATATTCTCGTTATACATAGAGCGTTTTTACAGAAATTTATTTAAAAGCAGCAGCAGCAGGAGTTTTTTGCCGTTTGCTCATGAGTGGCACTGTGGTGAGTGCTAGGTGAACTTTGTCGTTACGGTCGGTCGTTGTCGCTGCAGTGTGGCTGCGCCAGTCGCCGCGATTTTGTCGTTTGTCGTTACGGTCGGTCGTTGTCGCTGCAGTGTGGCTGCGCCAGTCGCTGCGACTTTGTCGTTTGTCGTTACGGTCGGTCGCTGTCGCTGCAGTGTGGCTGCGCCAGTCGCCGCGACTTTGTCGTTTGTCGTTACGGTCGGTCGCTGTCGCTGCAGTGTGTCTTGGCCTTAAGGCTGTGGACACACTACACGATTTTTCAGGCGATTGAGTCGGGCGACTGAGTCGAGCGACTAAGTGGGTGGACACACTAGGCGATTTTCAGCGCGATTCGTCGGCGATTCATCTCGCGCCACCTAGATTCATAGTCACATGATTGAAAATGGCACCGTTTGATTGGCTAATGAATCGTACATTCCAGCACTGTACACTCGCATTGTATAGTATCGCATTGTTCGGGCGCGCATTGTATATAGTCGCGCGACTCAAATAATCGCCCGACTCGAAAATCGCCGGCGACTCACTAGGCGATTTTTAAGGCGATTGAGTCACCCGACTCAGTCGCCCGACTCAATCGCCTAGTTTGTCCACAGCTTTAATAATACGTTTTTGCCAACTTTCTAGCTGACCGATATTGTAGCAGCATGTTCACTTGTCTACTGGTGATGTAAACCCACCTGCCGCTGTACCTCCTCCATTTTTCCCGACGTTCTTTGGCAAAGCTGGATGACAACAAGCAGCGCCACCTGTAGGCCAGTCCATGAAACAGACACGTCTGTTGTTTGGCTCTCGTGCTCTGACAGTAGCACTTTGCTGAGTGCATCCACCTTATCTTGCAAGTTCTAAAACACACATGACCACTTTTAGTTGCCAAGGTGATTGTTATTTCTTCTCATCATTTCTTCTAAGCGTGTCCGACTCGCGGGTTTCCTTGTCGCATTATAAAAGCATCTGTTGTGCGTAGCGCAGGCCTTTTGCTTGAGCCGTATTTATACATTTTGTATTTACAGTTTTACCTGCACGTGTGCAGCTACATCACGTGTTGAGTAATAAATTTGGAGCGTATGAAAAAGATGCCGAGTTGTGAAATATTGGTTAACACGCACGGAATGTAACAGTAAATGAAAGTGTCAATGACACTGTAGCTCACCACAAAAAAGGACACAAATGAGTGAGTAAGAAGACGTCAGTTTTAATTGAGCAACCATCGACGTACATTATAGAAACGATTGCCATCTGTATATCGCAATAATAATTTATAAACCAAAATGAATCACAATTTGTGACCGTAGATGGCGCTATACCTGCTTTGTAGCGATGGCGTTTGAAATAAATAGGTTATGCTGCGTTCCGACATGTTTTGTAAAACTTTACTCAAATATAGACGTTTTATCGGCAGGGTGGAGAGGAAATACCAATTTTTCATTAAAGATATTGTCAATGAAATCTTGTAAAACGAACCAGACGATTGTGACACCACAGACTGTTTGTCTCTATATAGTATGCTAAATAATTGCCAAACCCTACCTAATTTGCATAATTTTTTTTAAAATATCAAAACCCCCTAGCCCTTATTCATTCACATACCAAAAATGAACAAAATCCGTTGAACCTGAACTGACTAATGGCAATCTCACGTTTAATATGGGAGCATAGCAGTAACAACTATACCCAATTTCAAACATGTGGGCCAAACGGTTCCTGAGTTATCGTTGACCGTAGCGAAATGTTGACGGACAGACGGACGGACGTACGACGGACGACGACCCATGGCAATAGCTCAGCTTGACGATGTCAAGGTGAGCTAAAAATGTCTGAACCAGGAGTACATGAGAAACTACGTGAAGCAGGAGTACATGAGTAAAACTACATGAAGCAGGAGTGCATGAGTAAAACTACATGAAGCAGGAGTACATGAGTAAAACTACATGAAGCAGGAGTGCATGAGTAATGAAAGTGTTAATGATTGATACTTTCATTACTCATGCACTCCACCTATGACACTGTAGCTCACCACAAAAAAGGACACAAATGAGTGAGTGAGAAGAAGTCAGTTTTAATTGAGCAACCATCGACGTACATTATAGAAACGAAGAGTATATATGGGAGAACTCCCATTATATACTCTTGATAATTATGTGTAATTTTTTATGTGAAAATAAATGCTTGAGATGTGAAAGTCTGAGATGTAGGCGAGTGATGGCGTTACACCTAAATGATCGCCATTTAACGTTTTTATAATATTCAGATTAGGCACTGCCTAAAAGTGAAGCTCCCGATGTGTAACGTGTAAGATTGAGAGGATACGCTTATTCCACGTAGCTGCTATGTACCACGTGACAATGGTGTTTCCAGTGTTCGATATTCACGTCGGCCCGTCGGCCCGCCGCCGACAGTTTCGATGCCGGGCCTACAGCTTCTTGATAAAACAGGCCCGCTGATCCTACAGCTATTTGATCACCGAAAATTCGAAACACTGTGAAACTGTTGCCTGTAGAAATCTGTTCATGCATATTAACTTCCAGGGGTATTTATTTGAAAACTAACCCGTGATAAACCGTGACATACATGTAACAATGCGACATGTAACAATACATGTAACATACATGTAAACAATGCGTTCGCCCACTGCAATAAACTTTAGTTGGCATTCAAGAAACGTGCGTGGGATGTTCGGATGCACAGGTTAGCAAAAATCGATAAGAAGTGGGTGGAGCTTACTTTTGGCCAGTGGTAGTGAACCCTACATTGGCCAGGGTTTATTTACGTTCACGTGCGCTAGGTTGTGGAGTAATTCTCACATCCCCGCGCATTTCACGTTTGGATGTAAACAATAAAGTATCACTGGTAGTTATTACAAATAATCAGTATACTGTTTTAAAATAATATTAAGAAGATTTAGGTAATATATCATGTTGAATTATACAGCAAATAATAATAATTGTCTCAAGTTTTAACACACGTGTCATAAGCACTCATACCGTGTTTCCCTGCCCATAACACAACTTTTGTCAAAGGTTAATTGGTTGCATGGAAGTGTTTACTTCGTATGAGTTTTTCTAGGCGGTAGCACACGGTTGCCATCTGTATATCACAATAATAATTTATAAACCAAAATGAATCACAATTTGTGACGGTAGATGGCGCTATACCCGCTTTGTAGCGATGGCGTTCGAAATAAATAGGTTATGCTGCGTTCCGACATGTTTTGTAAAACTTTACTCTAATATAGACGTTTTATCGGCAGGGTGGAGGGGAAATACCAATTTTGCATTAAAGATATTGTCAATGTAATCTTGTAAAACGAACCAGACGAGTGTCACACCACAGACTGTTTGTTATCTGCATTATATGCTATATAATTGCCAAACCCTACCTAATTTGCATAATTTTTTATTAAATATCAAAACCCCTAGCCCCTATTCATTCACATACCAAAAATGAGCAAAATCCGTTGAACCTGAACTGACTAATGGCAATTCCCATTTTTTGCCAAAAATCGCCGCGGCTCGAAAGTACGCCGAATGGCGTGCTCCAAAATAGGACGTTTAATATGGGAGCATAGCAGTAACAACTACACCCAATTTCAAACATGTGGGTCAAACGGTTCCCGAGTTATCGTTGACCGAAGCCAAATGTTGACGGACGGACGGACGGACGGACGGCGGACGACGACCCATGGCAATAGCTCAGCTTGACGATGTCAAGGTGAGCTAAAAACTACATGAAGCAGGAGTACATGAGTAACGATATACGTGCCTGGAGTACATGAGCAAGAAAGGTCTATGAGCCAAGAGTGCATGAGGCGAATCCACGTCAAGAATTTTGACAACATGGCGGAGTGCAAGAAAATACGAACGGCATCGGAATAGCAAGGAAGAGGGAACTCACCAGGGAAGGTAACAATATTAAAGCGATAATTTCGAGTTTTTTCACCGTTTTTTAGTGTTTATTCTCACTCTCATGATGCCTACCGTTGTTGCTTGAGTAACAGTAATTGTTTCAAATAACAATAAAATGTCTTAGAACCTCATGCAAAGACAAAATCATGCACGATTACAATTTTGCATTCTCTTGTTGATTTTCGCTGTCATGTCTCGCAATTTCTCGCGGTACCGCGAGACGTCAACAAGGGTGCAGTAATGCAAAAATTGCACCGGAGATATTTTTGGTCAGATGTAAACACAGAGGTGCATAGTAATTAGTAGCGTAACAGTACTAACACAAATAGGAGTGTAAGTTGTAACCTCATAAATATTAGTCTTCAAAAGTTGCTTGATTTGTGCTCACCCGCTCACACACTCGGTGCGTACGGCCAGCGAGAATACTTATCACACACAAATAGATTTGTGATTTTTGAAAGTCCGGACTCGAAAAAATGTATTGCTGGTATGATGTGGTCAAATCAATTTTTCTATGCTATAACTGCATAAAATATTGGTGTTTTGAATGTTGGTGTAATCAGTGATATTTTCGCTGTCAGGTGAGACTATATTCAGCTATATTTAGTTTTTCTGAGCAAAATTCTCGCAATGATCGTTTTAAGCGCCTGGTAGCAGAGGAGGATTATGAAGAGACAGAAGCAAGGCTTCGGAGATTAAATGGACTATTTTCTGAGTTTGCTAATGCACACGAGGGTTGTCATGTGCTCCTCACTGACGACGGAGATATCGACGATAGTGATGGGTATTTCTTTGAGGTTCAAGATGCGTATGTTAATGTGGTGAGAGAAGCGAAGGCATTCCTCAAGAGTCGGGAGTTACCCATTAAGCCGGAGCAAGAAGAAGACGACGGGAGCATAGCTGATAGTAAAAGGTCTGATAATGACAGTCATATGTGTCGCAGTGATTTCTTAAACTATATGAATCTGCCAAATGTTGAGCTCAAGCCTTTTGATGGTAATCCCATGAAGTATCACGCGTTCGTGAAAATATTTTATGACTGTGTGGATAAAGTGACAGATGACCCGCAGGTAAAGCTTATACGGCTTCTCCAGTACACAACCGGTGCGGTGGAAAAGGTAATCGCGAGATGTGCCAAACTGTATGCAGTGGAGGGCTATGCCCAACAGCTGCCCAAGCAAGAACTTTACTGCACACTCGTTTTGGCGATGAACATTTGGTGTCAGAAGCAGTCATCAATGCGGTTAGGCTCAGTGACGCAGTAAAATCACTCGCTCAACTTCAACGATTAGCCGATGATTTGGCAGACTGCCACATTACTCTACATCAGATGGGGATGCTACATGAAGTCGACTTGCAGAGCTGCATGAAGGATATAGTAGAACGTTTGCAGCCTTACATCAAGTTTAAATGGAGAAGTGAGGCTATGGAAATTAAAAGGCAACAAGGCAGGTACCCTAGATTTGTACATCTAGTGGAATTCACAATTCTGAAGAAGCAACAATAGTTAATGACCCTGTTTATGGACATGAAGAGTTCAAACCTTTGAGCAAGGGTGGACAAGAGAATGCCGAATCATGATGAAGCAAGCAGTCACCTTTGCCACGCGCAGCGGCTATAAGAGACCTCCTTGCATTTGTTGTGGTGAAGATCATCGACTCATTTTCTGCAATGCCTTCAAAGGATTAGAACTGGAGTAATTGTAAAATTGCATAAGCTTTGCGAAGTATGTTTGATAAAGAGCCATTTTAAAAGGGAGTGTAGGTGTCCGTATAAATGCAGCAGGTGCTTTAAGATGCATTCATGGTTGTTACACTCTGCATGACACGGTGAATGGTGATATGATTGTTAATGATTGTAAGGGCGGTGATGTAGATTCCCATTGTGACGTAATGGGTAATAAGGTAGTATCAAATGCCAGTATATCAAGAAACACCAGCATGCCTATTGTGCGAGTTTGCGTTAATGAATCGTGTATTGCGTATGCTTTGCTTGACACGGCATCAAGTAATACGTTTTGTACTAAACGCCTAGTAAACCGTCTCGGGATCCATGGCGAGATTGAGAGAATCAAGTTGGATACGGTAAATAGATCTGAGAGTCGAGAATCACAGATGGTGAACATGAAATTGAGTAATAATGGTGAGACCCTACCATTATATAATGTGGGTGTGTTGGATGACATTCTGATTACGAATGCATATATCCACATTCAAGCATACCCCCACTTGAAGGATCTGAATATCGCATCTATGGATATGGGTGAGAATCAGTGTAGATATTCTGATTGGGCAAGATCACGCTGAAGCTTCGACTCCCCTGCAGGTGCGTTAAGGGAAACGAGGAGAGCCCTTTGCCACGCGCAGATTGTTTGGTTGGAGCCTTAACGGTAGAACCAAACGTAATCAGAACCCCTGTAGCATTCTTATATTGCTACGAAATGGTGCTAGTGCTACATTACCCCCTGGCAAGTTCGGATCCAGCGGCATATATCCTAGGCGCTGGCGTCACGTACAGCACCTCGCGGTGTTCTGTTCTGGCGCAAGTGGGTGAGAGAATACTTGCCCGAGCTGCAGTGTAGAAACAAGTGGATTGTGCAAAGCAGGAACATCAAGATAGGTGATTTAGTGCTGGTGGTGAACGAAACCCCCCAGAGGACTATGGCCGCTTGGCCTCGTGATGGAAGTGAATAAAGGCAGAGGAGGTCTCGTCAGATCAGCCAAAGTGAGGACCAAGGCGACGCACATCGTCCGCCCGATCTCAAAGATCGTACTACTGGAGGGCTCCTCCTAAGTTTACTTTAGTTGAACGTAGTTCAAGGTGGGGAGTGTTATTTCTTCTCATCAATTCTTCTAAGCGTGTCATACTGTAGTATTTCCTGCACTGTTAGTTCTTATTTCACGCGGTATTTTAAGCAGTTCAGCTAGGCTGCTGCGTCTGCTCGTTTACATTATGTTTTAGTCATGTGACTCGCGGGTTTCCTTGTCACGTTATAAAAGCGTCTGTTGTGCGTGGCGCGGACCATATGCTTGAACCGTATTTATACATTCACGTACGCTCGCGCATTTTTCCACGATGCACCATACATTGTAAGTGTTGTTTCTTGGTTCTTGCCTAATTTCTTATAATTTGGATCTTTATTATATAATTTTGGATATAATAAACATTACATGGCATGAGCGACATAATATTTAGTGTGCATTATTTTGTATTTACAGTTTTACCTGCATGTGTGCAGCTACATCACGTGTTGAATAATAAATTTGGAGCGTATGAAAAAGATGCAGAACTGTGAAATATTGGTTAACACGCACGGAATGTAACAGTGATTTATCAACTGCCCGGGTGACGGCGGACAAACATCTTATTCTTAATAATTGCTTGGAAAGGATATCAACTCTGAAATGAATGATGACTGCTGATAGAGTATAGCAGCTCTCGAAACTTGATAAATTTCAAAATGGACAGAACATTAATTAAAGTTATCGAAAACTGTAATAGATACTTGTCTAATTCTGTTACATCACCTTCAGAAGCATGTTGAAGGCAGCCTGAACATCTCCTGACTTTTCAAGCAGGTATGCCGCAGCATCCATAATCTGATGTCGTTGAACTATCTGAAAATAGCATATCATGAATTATTCCCCATGGAAATTTACAATTGTGGCTTGCACAACATAAACAAGTGCCGCAGAGCGACAGCGCTCACCTGACGGCGGGTGTTCTGATGCTAAACTCACTGGCAAACGAATCAAGAGCACCCTCCCATCGCCGCGTTCGCTCTCCCTCGATGTCTCTCTCATTCTTTCTCTTTCGCTCTCTCTTCCCTTTGCGCTCTCTCTCTCCCTCTCTCTCTCGCTCGATCACACACTCTCTCTCTCTCTCTCTCTCTCTCTCTCTCTCTCTCTCTCTTGCTCTCTCTTCCCTTCACGCTCTCTCTCTCTCGCTCGCTCACACTCACTCTCCCTCTCTCTCTCTCTCTCTCTCTCTCTCTCTTGCTCTCTCTTCCCTTCACGCTCTCTCTCTCTCGCTCGCTCACACTCACTCTCCCTCTCTCTCTCTCTCTCTCTCTCTCTCTCTTGCTCTCTCTTCCCTTCACGCTCTCTCTCTCTCGCTCGCTCACACTCACTCTCCCTCTCTCTCTCTCTCTCTCTCTCTCTCTCTTCCTCCTCTCTCTCTCTCTCTCTCTCTCTCTCGTCTTCTCTGCTCTCTCTCTTCTCTCTCTCTCTCTCTCTCTTTCTCTCTCACTCTTCGCGACGCGCTCTCTCCTTCTCTCTCTCTCTCTCTCTCTCTCTCTGCTCTCTCGTCTCTCTCGCTCTCTCCCTCTCGCTCTCTCGCTCTCTTCTCGCTCTCTCTCTCCTCTCTCTCTCTCTCTCTCCTCTCTCTCTCCTTCTCTCCTCTCTCTCTCTCTCTCTTCTCTCTCTCTCTCTTCCTCTTTCTCGTGCTCTCTTCTCTCTCTCTCTCTCTCTCTCTCTCTCTCTCTCTCTCTCTCACTCTCTTCCCCTCGCTCTCTCTCGATTTCTCTCTTTCTTGAGGCGGTAGCGCTGCCGGACGAGGCTGTGCGACTGATTGTCTATCAGACTGATTGTCTGATGGTCTTCTAACCCTAGCAAGACCGGTTCGTGGAGCTAGCAAGGCGGTAACGTTTTTATATAACTTCACATAAATGTTTATACTATCTATGTTAATTCGGATGGCACTCCGGCAGCCCATGTTTATACTATGTTAACTCGGGTTTCCCAGCAGCGGCCAGCAATGGTAGAAAATTATGAAAAATTGCTCTAAAAAGCTGCTTGTCCGGCGGACAAGCTACCGGACAGATCTCCGTGGAAATGGACAAGTACGGACAAACGGATAGCCCTTATTTCGAACACTGGGATGGTATCAGGAACCTTCTCGAAGAAATGTTCGTTGGGATCGGTATGAAAGTTGCCACGAGATGGCGAGTACGTTTGAGTGTCTTAAGATTAAAGATGGAAGCTCCCATCGTACGTAGTATAGCAACAACTATTTGCAAGACAGAATAGGTAAGCACTCATTCATTTACCTACTCAAGCCTACAGGCCGAAATAGAGAGCTGCCACCTGTAACTAATTAACGCAGGCAAAAACTGCACCGTACTATCACCACCACATGCACTGGCAGTGGCATAAGTTACATGTATAAACACACTGACAGTACAGAATGCCATAGAAATTATACGATTTAAGGAGCATAAACCTTCTTCAACCAAATTTAGCTTTTGAAATTTCGCTGTGACATTGTAGCCTCATACATCCAGGCATGTATAGATTCTACTAGCAAACCCGGTCAAATTCTTTCTAACAGTAAACAAATCCATGTTTAACCCTCCTCTTGAGGGTCAAAAGGTTATCTGACACTTACTCTTCGCATGTCAGCAGAAAGTACATTTCATGGTTCTTTCAATAAAGCCATAAAAATGCTAGGTCACCGCTGAAACAAAAAAGTGTTTCAATCGCTCCGTCAGACCATGTCCTCAGAAAATGTCTAAAATCTGCCCTGTGTCCCATTGACCTTTGACCTCCAATTTCAGCACAGTGATGGCTTTTCCTACCATGATGCTATACACCGACTATCACGAGCCTAGGTCGAGCCGTTTAGATTTGTGCCGCAATTCTGCATTTCCTCCCTATACCTTAAGTTAAGGAGGGAATGTTCCCCCTTCTTTTACACCTCTTGAACTTTGACCTTTGACCCGCAGCTTCGACATCCCAACTCGTTTTGACGATCCCCCCCAACGTCCCGAATATCGTGACCGTACGTCGAGCGGTTAAGATTTGTGTTGTTGACGGACGGACGCACGCACGGACGCTCGGGCGATGAGATGAGCTAAAAAGAACCGTTAGCAATATTGAGAAGTAATAACTTTCGAACAAAGTTCACGCACTGTGTTTACTGCATACTAGGGTATAGTATTGTTACATCTTTCCCTAACAACAGAATGCTATTTATCTACCTTCAACGTATTCTCGATTGTGAAGCCCTCAGATGACTTGATATAGCTGCAGACATCACCTGGGCTGTACTTGCACATCAACTCAATGTACTTCTCCTGCACATCTTCTCCAATATTTAGCTTGTCCTTACTCATGATTCCAATTGCTTGGCTTTCTCTGTGAACAAGAAAACAGAGTTTGTGAATAAAATTGTCAGCTGCACATAATACGTATGCTCCGCTACATGCGTTATCGGTCCCACATTCAGACTCAATTCATTTTACATAAGATTTCGCAAGGACAAGTTTGTATTATTTATTATTAATACACTAGCAGAACACCCGGCATTGCCTGGAAAATAAAGCGCTCAGCTGGTGACCACTTGGTTGAAAGAAAAATACCCAAAAATCGATACCTGCCTGCCTGCCTGCCTATACAGAGAAACTTCCACAAATATGTATTAGATTACCATGCTGTTAGTTATATGCTTTAAGAATCTGTTTTCAAGACGGCATTGCCTGTTGTTGCTATCACAATACATTATATACTATTGTAATATTGGCTATTGCGACTATGAGGAGGTTGTGATTAACCGTAGGCCAGTGGTAAGATGTGATGTGGGACTTGCCTGTACTCCACGAGCCCTTGCAGGAACAGATATTCCAGCTTCTCAGACGAGCTGAGCTGCACCAACACGTTCATCAGCTGCTGAGGAAACACGGTGGCGAGCAGCTGAGCCGCGCGCCGGTGATCGATGCTCACAAACGCCTCAAAGTTTTGTAACGCCTCCTCTTGTACGCGATCTCTCTCGGCGGCCTTGTACGCGGCCACGCTGGTCACGACGTGCTCCACAAAGTTAAACGCCTGGTGCTGGAAAATTTGGATGTCACGTCAGCAGCTATATTGGCTACTGTAGACGTGTGTGAAGCTGGCTTAAGTACTACTATACACGCTTGCCGATTTATCGGCACGCACGCCAACACACACACACATGCACGCACGTGCACGCGCACGCATGCACACACACACATACCTGTCGTGAATCATCTTTCAGGTAACAGTGCAAAACCTTGTCGTACTGCCGGCTCTTGTCGTACAACAGCTCACACACTCGGTAACTGAAACAAGCAAACCCAATGGTTTAGCGAACATAAATAAACTACGTGGATAAAATGAGCAAGCAGTGAAGCTGACAATCACATTCTGATTTCTTATTAGTTTCAACAAATTTATATTATAGACCATAGTACTCGCCACGCTGACTCAGTCAAATACTTTAACCGCATCACAATGAATAATGACACGGCACTGCTCGTAATATCTCATGGTTGAACTCGGCTTACAAGTGGGCAGTCTCCGCTAGTAGTAGCAGCCTATGCTCATCAAACTGCTGCAAGCCTGCAGCATGAAGCAGCTCAAGAAGTGCCTGCTCTCTCTCCTCATGCCTGCTCTCATCAGTGGAATTCGACAGGTACTCTAAAACCTGTACAGATGCGACATCACCAGATGCGATCCTTAACCATCTATCAAGTTACTGTGCAGTTGTGTGATGATAAAATGTCTAATAGAACTACTGAATGTATTTACATGGAGAACCATACATACTATAGTTCATTATACATCATACTGATAGTTTATTGCACACCATACACATGCACATGTTATGCACAGGCGTATAACAGTAAGCGTCCGCGATTGTTCACCGTTGCACTACTTCGTCTCTAGAAAAGGCCTTTTTTGGCATTTTTTTCCGCCGAAATTCGGCACTAGAGTGCAATAATTAGCATTGTGCACGCAAGTTGGATGCCTCGTGGACGTGGAGAAAGCATTAGAAGTAAAATTATTTTTGTTTTGTATTCGTGAGATTCCGTCAGGTGGCGTAGTCAGAGCGACCGGTTGGTGTTTTTTGTGTATGAAATGTGTTCAGACAACTTTGCAGAAATTCGCATCATAGAGCTGGCAAAAGTTTCGAGCGGAGCATAGAGCATGAATCTGTAGTTATTTAACATGAATAAAGTGTATGTTGTGTAAGCGAAGTAACAGTGTGAGTATTTTTAATTAATATCTGTTCGATGCTTATTCAGGCCTGCAGCCTATGGACGGCCTCTACTGTTGTTCAACACCTATAGTTCATTATACATCATACTGATAGTTTATTGCACACCATACACATGCACTGCCATACTAACATTTCATTAAATTCTATAGTAATAATTAATTCATTACACATTATTACAGGAGTGACTATACTATAACCTCATCGCAGAGCATACCATGAATAATGGTACAAATTCAGTCTTCATCAGACAACATGTATGTCACGACATTTCCGCTCACCTGTTCAAACAGCATACGACTGACATAGATGGTGCTGCCCTCTCTTGCCATTTGACGAGCCAGGAACGTGAACAGAGCTCCAACCTGTGTCGGCTGCAAGAGTAAGTCTCCCAATTAACTGGTTGGTGATGACCAACGGGTTACACAACAAACTCTCACAACACAAGACAACATCAAGCAGAAGGCCTGTGGCACTTATACGAGCACTCTGGATTTGATAAGAAACAGTCTCACTACATTACAAGAACATTTCCTAGGTGGGATGGGCACTCAGAGTACGCACTGAAAACTCTATGTTGTCCACCATTATCTGCAGGAGTATGTCAACAATCCTCTGCTTCTGCTGTTGCCTACCGATCAAAAGTATTCCATTAAAACATTAGAAATTATACGGACCAAACATAAATGATCACTATAACCAGTTTCTGCAATATTGATAACATATTCTTGATATAAAAATAATTAAATATAAGAATTGGAGGCAATTTATTTGAGGTGCTCAATGTTACTCCATCTTTAATAAATGAATTTTTATGTCTATTGGATTTAAAAAAGAAGATTGTTTGAAATACTACCAGCTCTGCACTTACCCATTTTCTGACTTGTACTCTGGCTCCTCAAATGCCTACAGCAAAATATGCAATACTGTCTAGAAATTGTTGGAAATCCAGAGAGACCGGATACAAGATGGCCTTGCGCAAAAGATGCGTTGTTCCCCGACCGCCGAAAGCGGTTAAGCCGCGCACTTCCGCGGGACTGGGCGCACGCGACCGCGGGATACCCCGCTATACGCATTCGCGCGCCGAAGGAAGGCGGGCGCGCGAATGCGTATAGCGGGCAGCCTACACTGCACTGTACTTGCAGCGTTTCAATAAAATGTAATGCTAAATAAATACAAGTCACGGCGGCGCAAAAACTCCCCGAGCCAGCTCCACGTGAGCGCGGGGGAGGAGGGAGGCTGGAATGTGCCCCACCATGTAAAAACTGCCACGGCCACGCCAGCACGTGCTCGCACGACGTGCCGTCGCCACGGGCAGCGCGGGGTCAAGAGGACATATCAAATTGCATATTGCATATCGCTTGGGATCTTACTATCCGAACTCGAAGCAATTATCAGTGTAAACAACCATCAATGAGTCAGGCCTGCGGGGAACTAAGATGGCTGGTGTGTAAAATTCTGTGGAAAATCCCTCGAAGAGAGCCTCGTCGCGCCATCTATGGGACGCAATATGTACGAGAATAACTTCAGGTTATTAAATAAAATAATTAAATAAATTCGAAATCGCTTTTCTAGAGGAAAACCTAACGCGCCAACCAGCAAGTTACCAATTACGAGCATTTGCATTTATTCTCGCCCTACGTGCATAGTCGAAAAGCTTCTGCAAGCGCCACAACTCCTCAATTGACCGATAAGAGGCCGATCTGACACAACCGTTAAATTGATATTGACAGAGCAGCGATTTCGATGAAAAGGCGCCACGGGGTGGCGCTGTTCGCGCTTCGCGCGGATCCGGGCTGCAGACTGTCAAGAGTTCATATTTGAAGGAAAGAATTGGTAAGTATATGCAGAAAAGTGTTCAATGCACAAGCACATTATGATTCCAATGATTATGTTCTTACCAAGGCTAATGCATTTAGAAACTCTCTAGTATTGTAGTGTAGCAGCGTCCTCAGGTACGGATATAGAGGCTCATCTATATATTGAACAAAAACAAAACAAAACAATAAAAGGCATTATAGGTGATTATCTCTTACAGAAATGACTATAGGCAACACAGTAGGTGACTTTATAGCCATTATTTTCGAAATAATTGCTCAAAAATGCACAATCTGAAAAAAATATAGTGAGATATAGTCTCAAATCATAGGCGATAGTGCACACATGTGTACAGGTGAAGTGGGAGTATAGATATATATGTAAAGATAATCTGGAGGTACAGATATGTGCACAGATAAAGGTAAAATTTAGACGTGCTGGAAATCTCAATAATTTATTCAGTTTTACCTTCAGGCGGCTTCCCAGTGTGAAGTACTGTCAACGTTTTCAGAACTGTTGTTTTCACTTGAAGAACCATAAATTCTGGAATATCTCCTGCTGGGTAGGCCCTGCCTGCCAGACAGCAACTAGACTCATGATAGAGAGAGTATACGGAATTATTGAAACGTTCACATGTGATTACTTATGGTCACCTATCTCACAAGAATACGGTCCCAGACATTTTTGTCCTATGATAATAAACAATGAATCATTTTCTGAGGAACTGTCAACACTTACCTGAGATAGACAAGAATTTTGTTTCCAAGCCTGACGATACTGTCTGTCACCTCTTTCTTAGATAACAAGAGGTCATTGAGGATACTGAGCAGTTCTTCAAGAGGTGAGATGTAATCACGCATGCCTTGGTTGAAGATGTAGATGATACCATCATAAAGACTATGCTTCCAACACAACTTGACTATCTGAAGGAAAGATTAGAAACAGTTAACAGTATATCGGATGCATGCAACTAAGCATGCCAACAGCAACTTACATACAAGTAGACAGACAGGCACCAGGAAGTGGGATGGGATAGATACCAAGCTCGATAGGCCCATTATAGTGTTACCATAACGGAAGATTACATACAAAAATCTATTAATAAACAATGTGTGATTTTCGGAACCCGTTAACGCTTACATGGTCTATATCCATAGACATAATGTCTAAATGAACAATAATATGTTCCAAGTCTGCAATTCTATCCTTGCGCTGGCAGTTCTCAACCAGATCCTGCATGACAGCTGGCGCCACCTGGCGTAAACGATCCGCTATGATGTAAGGTTCAAGACACTCCAGAAAGACCATCTTCGCAATGCCGTCGCGAGATATGCGATCGTAGATCTCATCAAACAAGACATCGCTACAACAAGAAGTCCCACAATCGTTACTTACGGCCTGTCGTCATCACCATAAACTAATGTTAACATAATCTATACAGTGGCTCACACGATCTGCCTAAAGGTTAAAGGAATACATGTATATAACGTATATACTGACATTAATATTATGTTCAGGTCAGCAGTATTCATACAAAATGTAATTTTTAATTCCACGCTCGTAGGTCGCTTACGTTCTGTTGATTGCAAGGCAGCAGTCAATGCAGACTGGGATCACTTGCTGATAATGCTCTGTAAGTAACAGAACAGGGCCTCTCTCTGGCACATTCTTCATCACCGAAACCTCGTACTGGTACAAAACACTCAGTAACTGCAAGTAAGCAAAATGCATGTAATTATTAATCTTATTACACAACCTGCTCCTTTATATTCCTTATATACGAAATTCTTGCAAACAGTCATGTTCCTGCTCCAAACTATATATGAATGACCGAGTCATTTTTAGCTTTAAATTTCATGCGTACATATCTATGTATGAAATCATAAATGTATACGCCTAATTTTGTGGTAATATTATAAAATACGAATAGCTGTAGATTAATATCTTTATGTATCTGTTAATGTCTAAGTGATAATATGTACATATAAAGCGAATTTATTTATTACCAATATATTCCTTTTAACACCATAAGATGGCGCTGCCTACCTTCTTGCTGACTTGCTCCTTCATACGAGTGACGTTTCGGGTAAGTCCTACCACAGCACGAGCCTTGTCATCATAGAAGGACAGGGTTAGTGCTAGTGCCTCCTGGTGCTTATCTTGTCTCACTAAGAAGTCAATTCTCTGTACCAACAAAAAGAATGCAGTTTAATCCTCGGCTACATCATACACAGTCATGGCTACATCTGTATCACATAGCAGCAGGTCATCATGTCAAGAGATTACTGCGATTGGTTTCATGTAAAGGCTTTTAACCTCATAGTGCATTCAATGATACAGTCAAACCTGTATATAAAGCCCCGTGTCGATGTCCCCTTTTATATACAAGTGCCGATGCTATTGAGGTGGTTTCAGTGTATAAATGCCAGTCAAGGGAGACACCAAGTGCACTTTATAGACAGGTGTACATTTAACAGAAAGTCATTTGGTTGACTATATAAGTTTAGTATTACTGTTATTACAGGTAGGAATTCATCTTCAATGCACATTACATGAGCTTACCTCAAACCAGGTACGAATGTTAAACACATGAACCGACTTTGTGCCAAGCATGAGGACTTGTCCACGAAACAAAGCCACAGACTGATAGCAAGCATTTTCCCCTGCTATTGCCTGTGAAGCATGGAATAATTGGCATATAGTGTGTTCTATCATTACCTTCAGAACAGTAGCACCTATGTTCTCACTGGCACCTACTTAAGTAATAACACACAGCATATTACCTCCCAAAAAAGTAAAATTATGATGAAAGACCTGAGATAGGGATCACCGCAAAACCCCCTCCGCTAAATCGCCATGCAGCTTTTGGGATGCATGATTTTTAACAAATTTTCTGAGAAAAAAGCATTTCACAAGCTGAGAAGTATGGTATTTGGATTTCTGTAATTGGATATGGATTTATGTTTTTCACATGATGGTATAGGGAATTGATCCAGCAGAAACAGGAATGCAAGGAGTAGTAGCAGTCAGTAACTCTCGTTTGAAAGTGCACACATATCACTTTTCATGTGGACTATCAGTATTCATATGCAACTCAAATAACATGTGGTTACACATGGTTTATACAACCTTAAACTAATTAAATTTAGAGAACATATGGTAGCTGACGGTAAGGGCCTATACTGTATGACAAGGGATATCCAGCATGATATAGCGGACATGCTGACACTGATGACGGACAAAGATTCATGGCATGGCATTGTGAACTCTATCTCAGATGCATCTGCTGAGTAGTAGCAGTAGCAGTAGCAGTAGCAGTAGCAGTAGCAGTAGCAGTAGCAGTATAGCTGTAGCAGTAGCAACAGCAGCAGAAGCAGCAGCAGCACCAGCAGCAGCAGCAGCAGCAGCAGTAGTAGCATGACAATACGAAACGTGCGCATTACCATGGCAGGGCTGACGTTGCCACCGGTTGCTAGCGACTTGAAGTGACTGCTGCCGTAGACTAGCTTCACATCACCGATGTCCAACATCTCCAGCTCCTCCTCTCGCCGGATGTCGATCACGTGCAGCCTCTCCATCGTATCCAGTGCCAGCATAGTCTTAGCATTCACCCACTGCCAAGATAAGAAGCAGGAAATTGGTAACTTAATGCCAATAAATGCATCACGATTTTTTGTACCTCCTTGCAGCTTACTAATAACATATACTATAACATAACTATAACCTATGCATAAGGTTCAAGATAAATAAAACATCCAGATATTGTGCGATAATTTCAACGTAACAATTAATGGGGTAATTAAAAGTGAGGAAGCGCTGCATGAAGAGCTAGTTTACTGAAATCTTCAAATATTCTAACATGTGCTAATTCCAACACAATATTTTAATAATAAAGTGAATAAAGTGCAATAATTTTACAATAAATTGTATTTACTTTTTGTGTTCAGGTCAACTGATTTGCATGATTTGTTACTGATATAGGATTAGCGAGTTATTTTGTGGCAAGCATCATATACTGCCACAACAACCCTTCCAACATTTTATAGTGCCCAAAATAGTAACCATAGTAATCCTAATTAAGAATTATATTGAAAAGTTCATTCATTTACTGAAGATTCCTGGAGATCTCTCAAACTGACAAACAGCTTCGTGACTCAATTTTCGATTAGAACCCAAAATGTGGAAGTCACTATAAGCTATCACGTATTCCCTACTTTTACCTACTACGGTTACTTTAACCTACCATTAGGCCGAGTAGCACATAAGACATCACCATCTTCTGCAAGAGGACAAATGTTACGTTGTCTGAGGTGGGACACTCAACCTGTGAACAGTCGTATGATATCTTATAATTTTATACAAATAAGTTGAAAAATGAACCAAGTAATTAACGTTGATGTTTACGAATTCTATTACTCAAATAAAATGCATCTGGCAAATCAAACAATATATGTCATTTATTTCATGCACTTTAAACGTTCAATGTGAAGCTCAGTATAGCTATTTGTGCAGGCCTGTAGGAAGATAAGAAGACAAGCAGCATCACCAGTATATACCTGGTAAAAGTATATGTTGTTTCCCCGGCCAAAGGCCAGCACCGGTTCGAGGCTTCTCTTGCCGCCCTGTTGAATGACGACATAGTGCCATACCACGAGTGGCAGTGTACTCACATCACCCTTCAACATGCAAAGAAAACAATTGTAAAAAAATAAAACAAACTTTCTCTGGTTAGTATGCTTAGTCTCACTAGTGGTAAACTTTGCCAATATCACGATTTTGCATAGTTTTACAAAATCGTGACTGAATACTAATACAATGCCATGGCTATTCTCTCTCCAGCTTAAACATGATGGAGGTATTTGTGGTGGATAGAACTTTAACAATTACTGGATTAATCAAAGATGCTTGGAGATACCATAGAAAACACTGTAGCATAACGAACCATTTAAATACGGATATTAGACATGGAAGTGACAGGGCCATTTCCAGGCGTAAGAGTCAGCATGGCAGCTAAAACAATCATGTTCAGTGCAGTTATCATGACCAAAGAGTAACTACAGTGCCACCTCTAGTCATATTTCATAATATTAGTGTTAGGTATATTACGTTAGCCATGTTACAAAACTAAATCCATGTAAATATTATTTAAATATGTGCTTATATGCACCTATATAGCAATCATATGTCATCAAGGAACAGTAACAATTATAGACCAATAAGTAACGATGATCAAATTTTGTGATCTATCAATAGAATCTTTTTAAAATGATATCCATTGTCAGGTTGTTCCTTAAACGACCTCACCTATCAATACATCATTACAGTAGGTAATACATCATTACACAGATCACTGATAAAATTCACACACAGCTAGTGTACCTTTAGAGGATGATGAAACAGAACTCGAAGTTTAGGTCGGATTGTGATGACAATGACTTTGGATAAGGTCGCAAGAGCAACAATGCTTAGGTCATCCAGTACATGATCTTGCAAAAGTCCTCCATGTAGTGGCACAATGCAGCACACCTCACCGCGACTAAAGTGTATAAAAAACATGACTTGGCTCACAATATTCACTTCAAAGCGCAATAATTATAAATTTGCTTTTATTATTTTTTTAAGTTAATTAATATCATTTGGATGCTGGAAGGCCATTTTGTTTATCAGCATCGGTAGTAAATTCTCTTATCACACCAGACTGCTCCTATCCTATCCTTTATGAAATTAACTTTAGATATCAGAACTTTTCATATAAATAACTAACATCAAAACTATTTTTAAAGATTTCCATGCCTTATTATTATTTAATATATTGCAATTTCCATCACCTTCCAGAGAAAATACAGGTCGAGTCACTACTTCTGACACCCATTAAACGCTTGAAATTGAGCTCAAACACAGATCCACCACTATCACTGAAGACAGCCACAGTATGATCATCTGTGAACTGAAACACGATAACTTTCGCTATTAAATAGCAAAAGCAAATGGCCCTTTTAGTTAAGGTATCTCACATATTTCAGTAGACATCCACAGTATGGTCATCTAGCTGCATGTGAACTGAAACACAACAACTTTCGCTATTAAACAGCAAAAGCAAATGTCCCTTTTAGTTAAGGTATCTCCCTTATTTCAGTAGATATCCACAGTATCATGAGTATGGTTATCTGTTAACCAAAATAACACGTTAGCATTGCATAGGTCTATCAGTAAGGTAAAGCATAACGCATTTATCTGCAGTACAGGACAACCTGTCTGGATATAATAATTGTGTGTGTGTGCATTGCATAAGAATAAATCAGTACACACATTTACCCATGTGTGCACGACAATACAATTACAATTACAACTAGACAGAGTGCACTCACAGAGAGTGCATACTTCCGCCAGCGACATACGCCATACGCCATACGCCATACGACTCACGAACACACGAATAACCGACGATATATGCCAGCGTACTGACATGTACACGCTGGCTTGCTGCTTGCTCGCTCGTAGCAGCCGCTCGTTGCTGCTGCTCGCTCACATGTACACGCTCGCTGTCTTGCTGCCACTCGCTCGTAGCAGCCGCTCGTTGCTGCTGCTCGCTCACATGTACACGCTCGCTGCGCTGGCTGGCTCGCTTGCTCGCTGGCTGACGCGCTAATATCGATCGCGCGAACACACGAACACACGCACACGAGAGCGAAAACATAACCTCCTCCAACTTCGTTGGGCAGAGGTAATTACAATACAATACAATTACAAGTATTGTAATATATGTTTACCTGTAGGTGCAGCACAGCACTACCGGGAGGGTGAGCATCAGTGATTACTCTAAGAAGCTTGCCAGCTACCAGGTCCCACATGGTGATCTGATTGAACAGCAGCACAATATTAGAACCGCAACAACCCATTTTAAATAACCACGTACAGCAGAAATCTGAAAATCTGGACTGCTCGGGGATAGGGTCAGTTAACTTCAAAGTTAAGGAGGGATAAAGCGGAAATGACCAGGTAAATTTTGATAGTTCATTCATTAGCAAATACAGCATGTTTCATTTATTAAAACGAGCAGTTTTAAAGATGAAAGTGTCAATGACACTGTAGCTCACCACAAAAAAGGACACAAATGAGTGAGTGAGAAGAAGTCAGTTTTAATTGAGCAACCATCGATGTACATTATAGAAACTAAGAGTATATATGGGAGAACTCCCATTATATACTCTTGATAATTATATGTGTAATTTTTTATGTGGAAATAAATGTTTGAGATGTGAAAGTCTGAGATGAGGGCGAGTGATGGCGTTACACCTAAATGATCGCCATTTAACATTTTTATAATATTCAGATTTAGGCACTGCCTAAAAGTAGAGCTCCCGATGTGTAACGTGTAAGATTGAGAGGATACGCTTATTCCACGTAGCTGCTATATACCACGTTACAATGGTGTTTCCCTGCCCATAACACAACTTTTGTCAAAGGTTAATTGGTTGCATGGAAATGTTTACTTCGTATGAGTTTTTCTAGGCAGTAGCACATGGTTGCCATCTGTATATCGCAATAATAATTTATAAACCAAAATGAATCACAATTTGTGACGGTAGATGGCGCTATACCCGCTTTGTAGCAATGGCATTCGAAATAAATAGATTATGCTGCGTTCCGACATGTTTTGTAAAACTTTACTCTAATATAGACATTTTATCGGCAGGCTGGAGAGGAAATAACAATATTGCATTGAAGATATTGTCAATGAAATCTTGTAAAACGAACCAGACGAGTGTGACACCACAGACTGTTTGTTATCTGCGTTTTTTGCATAAATTGCATAAACCTACCTAATTTGCATAATTTTTTATTAAATATCAAAACCCCTAGCCCTTATTCATTCACATACCAAAAATGAGCAAAATCTGTTGAACCTGAACTGACTAATGGCAATTCCCATTTTTCGCCAAAAATCGCCGCGGCTCGAAAGTACGCCGAATGGCGTGCTCCAAAATAGGACGTTCCATATGGGAGCATAGCAGTAATAACTACACCCAATCTCAAACATGTGGGTCAAACGGTTCCTGAGTTATCGTTGACCGAAACCAAATGTTGACGAACGGACGGACAGACGGACGGACGGACGACGACCCATGGCAATAGCTCAGCTTGACGATGTCAAGGTGAGCTAAAAAGAGCGTGCAATGCTTGCAGTCATGTTTAACAAATGCCGCAGAGCGACAGCGCTCAACTGACGTGTACTGTAGCCGGGTACACTTCTGATAAAATCACTGGCAGCCGAATCAAGTGCGCCCTCCCGCCACCGCGTTCGCGCTCAGAGCATATATCTAGGATACTATTACTACTAATACAGATCTAAAATCTATGATAGGCTTTGCTATACCGGTAGTACAGTAATAAAGATACAGCTGTGTAACTTTAATGACTTCGCTATAAAACATGTTATCATGGATTATGCATAGAGCGTGAGCGTAGTGGTGGTGGTGGGGGAGGGTGGGGTGGGAGGGTGGGGGAGAAGGTGAGGGAGGGGCGGGTAGAGGGGGTTCTAATAGCAAAAGCAGTTCAGTCCTTTGTTGACAGTCAACAAATCCATGTGTAACCCTCCTCTTGAGGGTCAAAAGGTTATCAGACACTTACTCTTCGCACTTCAGCGGAAAGTAGATTTCATGGTCCTTTCAATAAAGTGATAAAAATGGTAGGTCAGTGCTGAAACAAAAAAGTTTTTCACTCGGTCCATTAGACCATGTCCTCAGAAAATGTCTGATATCTGACCTTTCCCCCACTGCCCTTTGACCTCCAATTTCACGCTGGTGATGGGTTTCCTTCCCATCACACTATATATCGAATATTAAGAGAGTCGGTCAAGCCGTTGAGATTTGTGCCGCAATTCCATATTTCCTCCTATACCTTAAGTTAAGGGGGAAATATTCCCCCTCCATTGACACATCTTGACCTTTGACCCTTGACCCCCCAAATTCGACATGCTGAGTCTTTTTCGCGATTCCCCCCCCCCCAAACGCCCTGAATATCAAGACCGTACGTCGAGCGGTAAAGATTTGTGCCATAACTGTTGACATACGGACGGACGCACAGACGGACATTCATGCGATTCTACAAGCTGCATCCGACTTCGTCAGCTGAGCTAAAAATGAACAGAAAAGGTTTTCGAAAAGTCCGGGTTCTCAGGTGGTCCGGATTTCTGGCATCCGGATTTTTGTATACATTAAGACAAGTGGGTACCATACCTGCCCCTTCGCGTGCCCCACGAGAAGTCGTGAGCAGTCGCTGTTCATTCCCAGTGCAGACACGGAGCCATACAAGTCTCCTGATGAGGTGACGTTACCCAGACACCACTTCAGTACTTGCTGGGGGTCAAAGACTAGCACAAGCCCATGAGTAGTACCAATAGCTACCAGAGCAGACACTGCCTAAAAAGAACAGTTAAGAATGTTTAAGAATAAAACAACTCTAGGTTTCTGTATTATATTTAGTTCAAATTGTAGTTTTTACTCATCCTATATATATTTTATTGTTCTTATGTTAATGAGAAACAAATGAACTATAAACCAGATTCTTCGAAATAACTGGTGTGTGCTATGAATGACGTATTTGTTTGGTTTTCCTGAGTCATGTCACAAGTTGCAATAATAAAGTTCATTTGCATTTGATACATAGAAATTACAATTTTTATTCATTAAAATGATAAGCAATGATCATAAAATGATGTTATATTTCAACTTTAACTCCTAATTTAAGGCAAAATGATCTATTTGTTACATTTGGATTTTTATGGTTCAGTACTAGACCAAGATAAATGTAAAATCATTCTTATAAAATTTTCACTAGATTTAGAATTTACAAAAAAGAAAACTATATGTATCAGGACCAATAGGACACACAAGGACAATTTTGTAAATCATGCACCAATTTGCTCAAATATTTACCAATGTGACATATAGACGTATGATACAAAGTATTCATTATTCTCTTTCACTTACACAGAAAAGTTTGCAAGTATTAATGCATTTTAACTGACTTCTGATTTTATCATTTACCATTGCACTTGGTGCACCAGCGTTCACCCTGTCACCAGCTGACAACATCTGTGACGATATGCCACGTAAAATAACATGACGTAATACGGATCCATGCACAGGATACTGAATATTCCTCTGCCGTCTGAAAATGCACAAACAACTCTTATCAGATTATCTGCTCATGCAGTCACCAGTTCCACATTATAAAATATGCAAAAAGTATTGAGAGTCGATATCTACTCTACCGGGTCTGTGCTGGGTTACCAATCAAACAATTAACAGGCACAATCCACCATGCTAGTGGTAGCTTACATGTTTCGATTAGGTGTTGACCTGTCACTTGAGGATTCTGTGTGAAGCCCACTTGCTAGATCACTGGTCACTGATGCAGTTTCACCCTGATCGTGAAACATTCCATCTTCCTCAACACCCGGCAAGTCATCCGGCTGTAAGCAAGGCTCATAGGGTCTCTGCCGGAACGTACCCTGGGTATGGTCCGGTATACCGGAACGTACCCTGGTAACTATTTGATATGGTTAGGGTTAGGGTTAGGGTTAGGGTTAGGGATAGGGTTAGGGTTAGGGTTAGGGTTAGGGATAGGGTTAGGGTTAGGGAGTAGGCGTAGGTGACTCCCTAGACTCGTTAGTGGAGTAGGCGAGGTACGGTCCGGCATATTAGATAGTACCAGGGTACGTTCCGGCAGTACCCTGGGGGACATAGACCCTCTCAGCGTAAGCAAGTCAAACAACCCTATACAAACCCCAGTCTCCCTCTGTGGTTAAGTTTCCTAAGTGTGATAAGTTGGACTTTATAAGGCTATACATTATACAATGACATTGCCAGTTTAACTAGATATTTTCTTGTTTACAAGCAAGCACTCTATGTAACAAGTAATGCGTTATAAATTAATGATTGTCATGCACCTGCAAATGTTACCTCATTCATAATGCTTTCCAAAGTAGGTGGCGATGCCACACATGGTAAATCAAACTCAGTATCATCAATCTGAAAAACATCAGGCTAACGTAAAGAATAGGTAATGATAACATTAAACCACCTATCAGCAGAGAATGACCGTGTTCAGCTATACATACCATGTTGATTTCCCGCCATTTGTTAAAACTAAAAACAAGTGCCGTGTATCGAGCGACACGGCGGGGCTCATCTAACATCTACTGCCGGTTGACTCTGTGGCATGGATGGTGGTGGGATTCTTTTTTAGTAAACGCCTGTTAGTCCCATAAATGAGTTCACATACGCGCCAAAAACTAGTGGGAAGGCACAGCGGATGGGCTTATAATAGGAGATCTCTTTCTCAAGGATATGTTCGTTTGAGCATCGTTTATGAAAGTTGCCACGAGATGGCGCGTACGTTTAAGTGTCTTAAGATTAAAGATGGAAGCTCCCATCGTACGTAGTATAGCAACAACTATTTGCAAGACAGAATAGGTAAGCATCATCATCATCATCATCATCATCTTCGTTTATAGTCCATCTTTTCCCGTGCCTGGGGTTGGACTTAACTAAGCACCTGTAACTAATTAACGCAGGCAAAAACTACACAGTACTATCACCACCACATGCACTGGCAGTGGCCACTGGCAGTGGCATAAGTTACATGTAACACACTGACAGTACAGAATGCCATAGAAATTATACGATTTAAAATCGCATAAAATTCGCCACCTGTTGGCGGCAGGAGTAAGATAATATAGGATGCTATATTATATCCTATATTATATCATACACTATATATATTATCCTATATATATACACGTATATATATACACACATATATACACACTATATATATACACATATACTATGTTATCCTATATTATCTTACTCCTGCCGCCAACAGGTGGCATTCTTGTCAACAGACAAGACCATTCCTCACACTGCATAACAACAGTTCGGAAGGCGAGGAAAGCTAAGCCACAAGCCTAGTCAAACGCTATGAACCATGTGTGACGTTCAAAGCTATATCTCCATAAAAAGAAGAGGTATGGAAACTAAGTAAAGTTTGAGTGAGAGGTGGATGTCCAACGCTAATTTAGATGAAATTTTTATCGAGTTGCACGTAATATATCATCGGTAAAATTAGGCAAGCAAATGTTGAATTTCACGTGTTTTGGAGTGTCATACTCCTCCTATATTATCTTACTCCTGATACTATCGAACAAGGTTAGTCAAGAATGACACCGACAGATGCCTGAGATGGGAATCAAGACTTAAAATTAAGACTTAAAATTAAACTAACAAGAGCAATAAAATTATTTGGCCAAATAAAATTATTTCCCTACCTATATACCTACCCTATTTTATTCAAGGACGTAACCCTAAACAAATTTTTTTTAGGCCTTTTATCCTATTACAATACATGTTTCGTTCAGTTCATTCCAACGCATCAATTATTTTAATATTGGACGACGGTCAAGTGCACAAGACTTAATTTCTTCAGTACGCGCACGACGGTCGGGTAAACAAGACTTAATTTCTTCAGTGCGAGCACGACGCTCGGGTAAACAAGACATAAATTTCTTCACTGCGCGCACGACGGTCGGGTGCGCAGCACCTTTTTTCATCACTTGGTACCCGACGGTCGTGCGCGCAACGCCATTTCCATCACTCGGTACCCGACGGTCGTGCGCGCAATGCCATTTATCATCACTCGATACACGACGGTCAGGTAAATAATACATTCCTTCTATAAATTCTAGCTATTAATAAATATATTATAATTATTAATATAACTATTATTTATATACCGGTAGTTATTATTAGTATATAATACTAATAGTATTAATAATAATAGTTAATACTAATTATAGACACATCATGTCACATGTCTTAGACCTCTGTGAATTTTGAGTCTATTGAAGCACGATTAGTCTAATTAATTAGCAAATATGCACGCGCGGTATCGCTCATAGGCTAATACACGCGCGGTTATGACCGGTGAAACGAAACGTCACGAATTCTATTTTTATCCTCCAATCACAGGTCGGAGCAATTCCTCTGTTTAGACGCATGTGTTATCAAATTGTTGACGGTTTCTGAGAAATGCCATGCTAAAAATTAGGCTTACTTCAATAATATCAAGAGATAGTGCATCGTCATGTTGACTTTCCCCGTTACTATCTTCGTTAACGTTTTCAGCAGAAAATGCTTGCGGCGCCTGCATACTATCCATTGTGTCATATGTTCAGTTCTAATGTGATTATAATTTCGCAAACAAGTGAGCCGACTTGGGAGACAAAATTTGACATCTGACTGCACATGACGTCACTTCCCGTGGTCACTTCCCCCGAGCGTAGAAGGAGGGTGCCGCTACGTGGCAGCACTAGTCACTTCGTGTGGGTGTTGCTCAAACTCCACGACAGATGGCGCTCTCGCTCTGGCTCAATTCTACTGCTGAAAGTATTATCCTGTCGAGTATTATCCTGAGTGTGCGAAGGAGCACTGCATGCAGTTTGGGTGTTGCTATCCCCCGGGCGTGGAGGGAGGTCACGTGACAATGTTGACGATGACGTTAACCCTAACGGTAACTCTAACTACAAGACCTCCGA